GATAGTACTAGTGATAGTGGAAGTTCTAAGGAATAATATAGTATACTGCGATAGTTTATTAATTGTGATAAAAGCGCGTGATATCGCCTTGACGTTGAAGCGCTGGTGGGGCGCGACCGATTCGCTTGGGCAACCGATTCGCTTGTGAACCACGTTATCCAAAATATCTTGCGAGTCAAAGGTCGAGCTGTATGATGGGGCAGGTAATGGCATGTTCTCGAAATCGATGAAGGCCATAATCATAGTACTTCATTATTGGTGCGGGCAGGCAAAATAAATGAGCTAAACGATGGCAGAGAAAAAAAGAAGTGAAAAATATGCTCGAAGAAAGAACCGGCTTCCCGAGTTAATGATTAGGAATCTGGCACTGTAAGTCGGAAACCGACCACCTTTGTATGCATGATTAGGATCAAAACGCACCAAGCTTACGGCTGAACACAACATCGTGACGTGGCAAAGACAGAGTTGTTTGGTTGCGATTGCTCAACGGTGTTTTGAGTTTTTTCCATGTCTGCACGAGACTCGGCCTTTGTGGCGGGGTGGTGGTGAAGAGATGTGGGAGCTGACAGTTTAGAAAGTCTAACTTCGGTCGTAAATGATTGGCCCACCGGTGTCGACCACGGCTGCAGAGTGTAGGGTTCCGTCCCATTGGCTTTTTGACCACAATGTTGCGCTCGCATGGTAACTGCATCGACAAATCAGTTAGTTGCTCGCTTTTCACAATTCAGCAGAGCTACAGGGGACAAACTGTGCATCATGCAAGTTGTCGAAATTACATTTGCGGGTATCATAGCATAACTCCTCAACGCCTAGGAAACGTACAGAAGATGCGGTCATGATTTGCAAGCCTGATTAAGCTTTTGCTTTGCCCTTTCCCGTGCCAGCAGGCCTTCCTCGCTTCTTTCCTGCAGCAGCTGGTTGTGCGCGAGCAACTGGTTGTCCGTCTGCTCGTCTCCCTTCAGCAGCCCTGATTTCTTCTAGCTCCTTCTCCAGCATGGCTTGCAACTGCTCATTGCGTCTACCGAGGAGGAGGACATCGTCTGGGTTTATTGCTTTGCGTCCGGCATGCTTCGAGAACACTTCGAGATCCCGGGCTGTATTTGCTAGGAGTACATTAGCAACTCTTTGATAGATGATTTAGAGGGACCAAGTATCAGAGCATACCAATCTGAGTATATACCAGTTCAGTCAAGGCACCGATGAATTGCGGAGTGGCATTCAGATCGCTTTCCAAAGACTTGTCGTCAACAAATTGGCCGATTGCGTACCAGAGAGCGGACTTGAGCCGCTACAAGCTTGTTAATACATGAATTGCGTATAGATGTATCGGGCTATCTCTGACCTCCTCGCGCTCTGCTGCGGCATCGTTGGACGCCATCTGCTGCAAATGTGGGTGTGGAGCCGTCGCGATACTCTGGCAATACGACGGGCAGACGCGACGCGTCCATCGTTCTGGTGGGGCCTGGGTGGCAGAAACCATGTCACCGCCCATGGTTGCCATCTGGTCCACGTTTTGAGTGATTTATCGCGCGCAACTTGTCCATTGATCAAATTTCTCTCTACCTGAAATCCTCACGCCTTTCAGCCATCTTCTCAACCCATCTATTCGTCTGCGCCTGCATCAGCCCACAGTACAGCGACCAGCAACAAGCCTTTTTTTTTCGCAAAGCATAATCCAGCGCACACGTCGCTCCTAAACACATCTCCAAATACACCAACCATGGACTACATACTCGACAATGTCGGCGAATGGAAGAACAGGCTTGTAAACAACTCAATCAAATCGTTTGAGGAAATGACTGCCCAGCGCTGGGTTCGCATCATCGCCATCGTAGGAGGATACCTCCTTATTCGACCATATCTGCTCAATGCAGCCGCCAAGAAGCAGAAGCAACAACTGGATAGAGAGGCTGAGGAACTAGGCTTGGGAAAAAGTGATGCGCCAGACGCGAACGACTTCCGTGGCAAAGGCGTCAAAGTGGCAAAGGGCGAGGTGAAGAAGAAGGAGTAAGATTCAAATGCAGGGAAACAGAACGGATATCATGATAGAGGATGGTAATAATCGGAGATTCTGGGAGGGAAACTTGCATGGCTATACCGTGCAACATATGGCGTTCTATGTCTTATGGTTGGGGAATACACAAAATCTTTGAGCCGGGCCTGAAAGCATGATTGGATTGGAAAATATGATGCTTTGCGGAGACATTTTGTTGCTCGTTCTGTCGCATCTACATGGCTTTACGACATATATAATCATACTCTAGGAAACGAGATGCAGCAACGAAATGGCGGTCCAAAATTATTTCGCAGTCGTACCCGATTGCCTTCGCACTACGGCTTCATCCAAGCTATCTATTTTGATTCACCAAACGGTTCCCTTCTAACGATCGTTCAATCACGACCAGTGTTCAATGATAGCAACACACTTCCAGCTACAAGGCAATTCAATCGGGATAGACACGGTCAGCCGATCGAGTTGTTGTCGAGACATTGGTTTGAATGAACCGTTTGTGACCTCGGAATTGCGTTTGTAGTCTAGCACGTCTTTATATCGCCAGCGTGTAGCACGTACAAAAAAATCCTGTTGGCCACCAACGCTTTCACTGTGACTTCATTCACAGAATATCCCTCACGTTTCCCAAACATACCGTAACATTCACATTAAAACCACCTAATATATCTTTTTTGAACTACACCAAGGATATCCAATGCCCGACGACGACCAATTTCGCAAGACCGTGCAAAGAGCAGTCGAAGACATCATTTCTAAGCGTCACGACAAAAGTACATCCCAGATCGTTATTGAAGCTGTGATTGAGGGTATGAAGCTGTATCGCAGTTACAAGAAGGAAGAGGAGGAGGAAAGGCGAAAAGGCGAACAGAAGAAGCAAAGGGGACGCAGGAAGAGATACAGTATGGGTAACAGCCCGAGAGATAGAAAACATCAACACCACAGCCATGCGCCCTATGAGCGAACTGATGGGTTAAGAGAGAGACATCAGCGTCAACATCGCAACCGATCGCGCAGCAGAGACCATGAACAACATCGTGATAGCTCACACAGTAGGTATCAGTATAGTTCCAACGAGGAGCATTACATAGGCAGGAAAAGAGATCGCTCAGCAAGTGGCGCAAGTAGGTATCAAGCGCCATGGCAGGAACTAAAAAAGAGCAGTGCCCAAACACCCCATGCCCAACATCGTGACAAAATGGAGGCCTCGAGATCTCACCATCAGTCTCGAGCCGAACAAAGCCACCCAGGCGCTCTAGCAGGAAGAGTCGGTGCATCTTACTCTCCAACACGTCAGCAGAGAGGACCCGATGGCACGCCATTTGGCAACCTGCCCAAGTACAAATCCAAACCAGGCATAACCTTTGGACTTGGCAATCATTTCATAAACACGTACAAGCATATCAAGGCCGAGCACGATGCTGGATATAGACCTAAAGGGTTCATCGAGAAAGCGTTGGATGAAGTAAGGAAGAAGAAGCTAGATATAAAGACAAGGGAAAAAGAAATGAACCATGGTTGGAATAGAGAAGGGACCTTGAGGAATGGCAAAGTTCGGAAGAAGCAGCTCGAGATTGATGAACGGGATAAACGGCGGATTGAGGTCTATGAATGGAAGCCTAAGGCTACTGAAACTGAGTCACAGGGGCACCATCACCAAAACCAAAAGGGCCGTGGGCGGATGGGTCAAGAGGGTGGGCAGAAATGGAGAGTTGTTGGCCGGAAGAGTAGTCAGGACGCGCCAGTTCCTGTAATACGTGTCCAATCTGCATCACCTGTTGCAAGTTCTGAACGAATAATTCCTCCTGGTTATGAAACAAGGCCATTGTCAAAACCCTCAGGGCCTCAAAAGTCTCAGGTTAGGAGTAAGAAGGAGATGTCTCAATCTGGAGCAACATCGCGCGATCATCGACGCAGTCAAGAAGCTCCGATTCCGGGAGATCACGATTACAAAGACAATCATCATGAATACAGACCGATGTACCCTCAATCAATTATCTTTGATGCTCCCCAACGCCATGGCATAGCTTCCTCTCTCGTGGGCAATCAATCGTCAATAGAGCCGGAAAACGCCTTCAGAGCCTCGTCTCCCATCATGTCACATGGACCTCCGCCTCCCCCTCCGCCACCCGTATTGAGAGGGACCAGCAATGGAAGAGCAGTTCTACTCGACTCAACCCAAGGTGAAACCGAGCAGCTCAGAATAGCTTTCCCAAACAAAAAAGACAAGTCGGCAAGCTCCAGTGCAGGAGGAGTTTTATACGACCAAACAGAGCACAGCCAGGAGGTCGAAGAGCGAGAACGTGCTCAAGCTGAAGGATCAAATGAAGGACGAGACGCTCAGCCAGAACCGAACAGAGCGTTCCGTCAAGACCTCTTGGATGCACTCCAGAGACGGAGTACTACAGGACCAGGTACTATCACCCATGGGTTGACGGCAATGAGGGAATGTTCTGATTAATAACAACCCAACAGCAGACTCTGGTGTATTGGTAATTACAGGTGTATCCCACAAGCAACAGGAAGAAAGTACATCCCTGTATGTATAGTTGAGATGTGTGGGCTCACTGGGGTGACAGACGAGGCAGTGCAGCTTTTCAAACCAGAAAATGGAGAGGAACTATTTTCTACACTAGCAGCACATGTTGCGCAGCCTGGTTGGAGCTTTGACGGAGTAGGGACAGCAGATTGACGGGCCAGAAAGAGATGCGGCAGGATTGGGGTGGGGCGAGTATGTCGGTGGTGATGGTGAAAGGGGGCATAAACAGGTGGACTATGCGCAGGCGGGTCCATGCTCCATGATTTCGCGCGGCTAAGCTCTGGACCGCGCGAAGTGACGCCGGGTCGTGTATCCGCCCTTCATCCCTATTCCTCTGCTTGTAAGCTTTCAGTACAGGTGTTAGCATCACTAGACTTTTGACCTTTTTTTTTCTGCCGCTCTTTAGCTTTTGGTGTCAACATCGTTCTGTGACGCGCAATCGCATCTCCCCCACATTGATCATTGACCGTTGTCGGACCCTGTGCCATCAGACCAACCGCAAGCCAGCCCGCGCCCGCCCGCCCCCAAACGGCTTACCCAGTCTAACCACCACACATCCGCTCTATCTCTCTTTTCCTCTACCTGTCCTCCCCGCATACACAAGGCACAATGCGCGTCTCATCAGGCATCCTTCTCGCCCTCCCGGCGCTTGCTGTCGCCGAGGAGCAGCAGATCCCTATCCTCGACAAGGTCAAGGGCTTCTTCAACAAGGCGTCTGCTGCCGTGTCCTCTACTATCTCGGCCTCAATGCCATCGGCGCCAGTCGAGGCAGCAGCCAGCGAGGCAGCGGCCAAGGTGGTCGAGGTGATCCAGCACCCGTTGACTCTGGAGAACTGGAAAGACGTCTTGACAGTCGACCCGACCGCCAGCCCGCCCACCACCCAGGACTGGCTTGTCTTCACCACAGGTGGCAACAACACATGCTTCGGCCTTTGCGGAAACGCCACCAAGGCCTGGAATGTACGTACACTACAATATGCTGCTTCTAGAAATGCGACACTAATAAACCTTCCAGGCCTCTACCCCCTTCATCGCCGCCATGCCCAACGCGCCCAAGCTCGCGTACCTGGATTGCGAAACCGAGGGCGTTCTGTGCAACTCGTGGTCCATTCATGCGCCATCGCTGTACTACTTCCAGATCCCCAAGCCGCTCCCCGACCAGTCGGCGCCTGTCCCTGTCGCTCGCTACCAGGCATTGAACCGCACTACCACCACCGCGGAGACGATCAAGAAGCTCATTGTCGACAACGAGATCGCTGAGATTGAGCCTTACTGGGGTCACTTCCACCCCTTCAATGGCACCATGCAGCAGTACAACCTCGCTGTTCCCTATGGCTACTTCACCTATGGTTTCTCCAAGATGCCTTCATGGTTGCCCATGATCATCATCTCGTTTGTCAGCAGGTCTTTCATGTAAGTCATTGCCTAGTACAGTCGCAGCGCGCATAACGCTAACACTCTTGTAGGGGCAATCGCATGGCCGGACCCACCCCCGCCCAACGAGCACCACGGTAAACGGATAACCCCCCATGTCCCTGTTGGCTTTTACCCTCGACAAAGGGCGATCCTAAGCCTTGTTTGCAACCCCACCCAATACCCCTTGGGGTCGATACGATATCCATATACCTATCTTGTAATTGGATCTCCTCCTAGAACGAATGACATGTGTCTCTAAAAGGACATGTTGAGAATGTTGGTGTTATAAAAAGAGGTGTATAGGAGACACTGCAGCGGTGTTGAAGAAAGAATATGCAGTAATAAAGCAAAATTTCATGTGCGATTCACTACCATATCACAAACTGTGTTCCGAGACATGTGCTGGTTGACGACTATATTTCATGCATGGCAGTTGACTGATATTAAAAAGTAGAACATTAGTACTTCCAATCTCTCTCTAACCATCACATTCTCTTCAAGAAATCTTAGATGAAGAAGAAAAAGGTAAATTGCCATGCATTTCGTGACGCGATGCTCGAGGTAAAAGAAGCGCAACACGATGTACCATCGCAGTTATGAACAAGGGGAATCAACAAGCCTATTTACAACACGCTCACATGCATCAGATATAACCCAAAAGAAAAAAGGAAAAAAAAAAGAACAAATCCGTCTTCCGCCTTTCAGTCCACATGTCGTCAAGTCCGCTGTACACTGCTCACAATTGTAGGTCCATCATCCTTCTTCCTCACCCACTTGTCCTCTTCGGCCTTCCGCTTGGAGTTCCGATCATTGCCTTGACCACGACCTCCTCTTCCGCGCCACGGTGCGCCACCACCACCTCCACCATTTCCGCCGTTACCACCACCGCCGCCGCCACCGCCAGCCCCTCCACGTTTCGGCCTTCCATCCTGTCCGCCACGGCCACGGCCAACCTGGAATTGTATGCGCGTAAGCGGGTGCTCGACCCAATCGACGCCCTTAAGCCCCAGATTGTTCTTTTCCCAATCACTCAATTTCCACGCCTGGTACAGCCCCATTAAGCGCTGCTGATCGATTTCCTCTTTGCCGGGTCCAAGCGAGCGCGTGAGCTTGAGGCCGCGCAGTTCAGGGACCCAGGCTTTAATGTACTCGCCGTGCTTGTCGTAGTCGAGGGCTTGCTTGACGGGGTTGAAGATGCGGCCCTGGCGGGGATCATTACCCACGCCTGCTACGTATTGCCAGTTTCCCCAGTTGCTAGCTGGGTCGTAGTCGACGAGGAAGCATTCGTACCATTCTGCGCCTACGCGCCAGTCGATGTTCAGATGGGATGAGAGGAAGGAAGCGACGTTTTGGCGGGCGCGGTTCGATGTGTAGCCTGTGACAAAGAGCTCGCGGTTCGAGGCGTCGATGAGGCCGACGCCTGTTCGTCCGGAGCGGAATCGCTCAAAAACTTCAGCTGTCTTTGCTGGATCATCGCCTGGGCCCTTTGACCATTTCAGGTTTTTCCATTTGTTGTCGCATTCTTTTTGGTCGATAGTCTGGATGCCGTAGAGGCTGAACATTTTGTACCCAAACTTTCGCATGCAAAGACGCATATAGTCTCGCCATAATAATTCAAACCGAACTGCTGCGGTGCCTTCGTTTTCGCCTTTGCCGTAGCCTGGTACTTTTTCTCCGGGTCCTCGTCCCTCTTCAAAGTCAAACATAGCCCAGTGAACTTGACGAGCCGTGATATGGCCTTGTGCAAGGTAAGCCGAGATTTTAGTGCTGAAGTCGAGACCAAGCATGCCATTGCGTGTAGCTTTGTAGGAACTCATTGCTCCTGTTCTGACTAAATGTTCTATCCGGTCCAGGCCGTTTGTTTCGCCGCCGGAAAAGGGATGTGCTGATTGAGCGTCGGTCGGCCATACTGGTGGCAATTTCAGAGTGTACGTTGGGTCTTTTAGTAATGGGGTAAGTAGAGCATCTTTTAGTCCTTCCAAAGTCGAGGGTATAGTAAACGGCGATTTTTGCGGCGGTATCCTGGACGGTAGCGGGGGAAGTTGTGCGGGGGTGGGTACGGTGTTTCGGGGTCGGTCGCGTAGCGGTTCTAGGCCCTTTCGATATGTGGTGTAGACATTGGGCAGTTTGGAGATGTCTTCGTAATATGGTAGATCCCGGCTATTTTCAGGTTAGAAAAAGGATTACTCCGACTTGACGTCATTCTAAAGATTTGGTTTGCTTACTCGTCCACATAGTACTTCTCGTCGACCCAAACCTTGAAATCTACACCACGCTGTTCTGTGATCTTTTTCAAACCGGCCACGTCATTCTTCTCTTCAGTAGCATCATCGTCTGTAATCCAAACCCCGCTGATTACACCCTCATTTTCGTCCTTGTCGTACCAATCCATTATGTCGGAGACCACCTCGGGAATTTTTCCGACACGCATTTCTAGGCCTGAGCCACAATTTAACCCCGCAAGCTTATCTTTGAGATTCCACACGCCATCGGCGATGAATTTTGCGCGGTGAGGGCCTGTCCGCCACACACGCGCCTCCCTACTGCGTGCCTCAGGGTATGGACATTTATCGGACGGCGACGAGAGAAAGCCTGAGACTTCGATCTGGTTGGCGGGGAATACGAAAACGGGTAAAAGGTGGGTGAAATGTGTGCGGCCGTGTTCCGAAGTCAGCGAATCATCGCGATGCCGCCGATCGGAGCTTGAAGAAGATTTTGAACTCGGTCGGCTGGTCTGGAGGGATGCAGCGTAGAACACGGGGTTATCTGAGAGGCGTACATCGCGGCGCAGTATGTACAAGAGGATGCGAGGGACTCTGGGAGTCATAATCGGGGCTTCTTCGCTGTAGGCACTGAATGTGCGTGTCGAGCAGAATGAGCAGAGGAATAGATCGCAGGTGTTGCACGGCGGCCAGGAACAGCTACGTCGTAACATCAAGGGTTACGATGCATGCAGAGTCCAGGAGTAGCAGGAGTTTAGCAAAAACATTCCAAAGCCAGTAGGCAGAAGAAAAAAGATGGATAGAGTTGTGTAGCTTCAGAGCCAGCGGGACGTCATGATCCTATGATGGTGACAATGGAGCTTCACATCGAAATTTCGGGGGCACGAGGTGACTGGAGCACTAGAGGGAGCCCTAAATGTCATCTGTCAACCATGTTAGGACAGGACCCCACTGCAAGGGGTGCAGATGGTCGAAACTGAGGAGATCCGGTTCGAGATTGGTGATGCTTGCTGCAGCATCGCTGGCCGGGGTTATGACGTGAGGGCCGAGCTAGCGCGCCGCCACACTTCGCCAGGCCTTGGGCACGCCTGCTGCAGGGACGCATATCGAGCGACTTGGGACGGGCCGAGCGTTCGTGGGCACCCGTGGATGGCAGCGATGGGCGTGCTACAATGAAGCAGCAGAGCGATCGCGAGACATTGTTGTGGCTACGCCATGCCCCCTCCAGTAAGGCGGCATGAAAAGCTGATAGATGACTCGGTGCCCGGATGCACCGCAGCAGGGGCCGCCAATCGTCCTGCATCTTCCCTCCTTTGATCTGATCTCGATATACGTCGATTCAGAGCGGCAATCGTGTGCAAGGTACCACCGCCTACACGTGGAACTAGCCACATGCGATGCTCGACATGACATCTGCCTCTCTTCCAAGCTTGCCACGCATCGCCCTTCATTTCAGTCTTTCCCCCCTCGCCATAGTTAATGCCTGTATAATGCCGTCGTTCTGTTCTGCCATGCTTGACGTGGTGCACAACGCTGTCCACTTGTAAGCAAGGTAACAAGGGGGTGGTGGCCACAATCAGCACGCTGCCCGTATCTGTACTGCCCTTCTGTGAGCCGTTACACTCGTTGGGGCCAGCCCAGCTACCGAGATAACAGTTTTTTGTATGCATGCGAGCCGTCCAAGGGACTATAGCACTACGGCTAGCACACGTTGGAAGACTTCTGGAAAGAGCACGTGGGGCTCAGCGATACTGCTAGTCACACGACCTACTAGAGAGAGAGAGAGAGAGAGAGAGAGAGAAAGAGACGCCAGCATGTCTGATTGCTTAGTGGCCAAGTCCTTGCTCCTACGGGTGAGTATCGGAACTCAAATCGAAGACATCATTTCACAAAGTTTGCACTACTTTGTTTTGTTTTTTCACAACGTACATACCTTGATATCCGCCCCTAGTCCACCTTGTGAGATAAGGTGTATCTGCATGTATACCGAAAAAAAAACTTTGTATGGACTGTTCATCAACGTCAGTCCGCATGTAACCGTATCACTTGCAGACTCGGCATGGGATGAGCTAAGAAGAAAAAAGGTTCAGCTTTTTACAAATGTGACTTGGTTTCCCCGCACCGCTTTGGGCATCAATAATGAGCATGTGCTATAGCACTAAAGGAACAAAGTTCAGGAAGCTGTATAAATATTCCGGAAAATGGACGGCGGTGAAGCCCTTGATACTTCTAAATTCGGATTCAAATTATTTTGATCTACGTTGCCTATCCCCTCTCAAAGAAGAAGAACCCCTCAGTGACCTTCATATGTAACACAGCAAATGTTGTCAACCCAATGGGCTTGCAGCCGTGTCGTAGATCATGACACCATATCCCACTAATGAGCGGGATGCACAACATCTTGGAAACCCTGCTCGTGCTCGCCACTAACACACCGTTCGGTAGACGCCATGTTTTGTCGGCCGCTGAGCCTTGTGCTTGTGCTCCTTCCTCAGGCCTTTGCTAGCATGCTGCTTCTCGACGCTAGGATTGGCGCCTGGTTGGAACGCCGCAAGGTCGATGGCATCCGTCTTCATAAGCATTTCCGTCACGCCGCAGATGTCAGTCACAAGCCTGTCGATCATGTCGATCGAGAGAGACTCTCTGACTACTACTCTTAGAATCTCAGTCTTCTCCTCTTTGGGAGGTAGCGGGTAGTCTGTCATTCATAGATAAGCACAATTCTCTGCAACACACAGTCAAAGCCGTGGGCGTCCTTACTGGGAATAATGTATTGCTTGGCACGGAGCAGATTGCTAACGGCTTCTTGCTTGACATGCGGGAATTCTTTGTGGAAGTCATCGGTGAGGGTAAAGGCTACGACGGGTAGACCGGGGTTGTAAGCTTCGCTCGTAGCGCCTTCTTCGTACTGCTCCTTGCCCCTTTCGTACTTGAAGTCACCCTTTTTGCGGTGAATGTCGCTGACACACCTATACCAGCCCTGCGGTATGACATCAGCGGTTGTCTCAAGTTTTTTTTTATAAGGGGAGTATTCTTACCGTGTGTTCCAGCGCCCTGCTCAATAGGCGGGCATTGGCCAAGGTGTTCTCCATAATGCTGCGGTATCCCGAGAAACCCAGATGAATCAGGTTGTAGTATTGTGCAATAATCTGCGCGCCCGGTCGTGAGAAGTTCAATGTGTACGACTCCTCAGTTCCACCCAGGTAGTGGAGTTCAAAGATTAAATGCTTTGGTAGGTAGCTCTCATCTCGCCATATGATCCATCCAACACCGGCATACACAAGTCCAAATTTATGTCCACTGGTGTTGATCGACTTCACCCGCGGCAACTCGAAATTCCATTTCCTGCCTGCTTTTGCATGGGTAAAGGGGGCAATGAAGCCACCTGATGCCGCATCGACGTGAATTGGAATGTCGACTCCAGTCTTCTTCTCGAATTCGTCCAAGATTTCCGAAATCTCTTCAACAGGCTCATAATGTCCGGTGTAGGTGGAGCCGAGGATGACAAAAACTCCGATAGTGTTCTCGTCGATATTCTCCTTGACTAGCTTGGGATCTAGGCGGTAGGATGAATCCTCGCTTACGGGGAGAATACGGGCCTCGACTTCAAAGTACCTGGCAAACTTCTCCAATGCTACCTGAGCATTGGCACCCATGATGATGTTCGGCTTCGAAGTGTCCTTGCCCTCGGCTATTCTCTTTTCCTGCCAGCGACGCTTCATAGCGAGCCCACCAAGGTGAATGGCCTCACTAGAGCCAGTGGTGGCGGATCCAATGGCCTTTTCGCCCTTTTGCACACCCCACATGTGGGCAATAATGGAAACGCAACGAGCATGCATGTCCATCATGGCTGGGTACTCATCAGCATCCGACAGATTCTTTGATATGTTTTCAATCATGAGCTGCTCGCCCTCCCTCTCCATGTAGGTGCCGACGAATGAAGCAAGGTTAAGGCTAGGTCGTCCATCTAGGTCAAGCTCATCTTTGAGTAACTGGTGAACAACATCTGCAGGGGCACCATCTTGTGGAATTTTGAACTTGGACAGCTCGGTACCAGCAGCATATCGACTGGAGTAAGGGGTGATGTGCGAAGTTGCTCGGTTTTCGGAATGACGTCCACCAGCCTTGTGCATAGGATGGTCTTTGAGCGTTGTCAAGAGCTCTTCCGTGTCAACGTGTCTTGCTAGTCCGGCCATTGTGAGAGGGTTTAAAGTTGGAAGTAGAGCCGTAGTGCTTCAGGTTGGTTGCAATGCCTGTATCCGTGCGACATAGGCATGGTAATTATATAAAAACTACAGGCAGTAGTAGTACATGCAATTGTAGTGTGTAGACATGACGACACGTTGTATCCGCTCTTGCCCGCATGGTCACGCCAATAACATTAGGGAATAGACAGCCCGTTGGAGTTTGAAAGCTTGACAAAAGCTTGTTTTGGCATTCCACGGAGGGTGACAAATGACCTCACAGCCAATCACATCCTTAGTTCCGAGACCCACTGTGGGTAGATTTTGTTAGTAACGTCGACCAAAACTGTGGTCAGCGTTATTTTGGGCATATGGGCAAGCCTAGAGCTGTAGATTTGAGTGCCCTCGCCTCGTAAAAATTGACGCACAGTGACGAAGGCGTCTGAGTAAAGGGAGTAAAAACAACGTCACCACTAGATTTACATCTGTGTTTGTGTATGGAGAAAGCATCCACAAAGCTTGGCAGTGGTTGCTGCTTGCGTACGTCTAAAGTAGTGTACGGTTGGCAGATGGGTGACATTTGACAGGAGCGTGAGCCATTGATTGAAGAACTGGTCGTCCTCGTTGTTTGTGGGTGACATGAGCTTGTAAGTACGTACGTATATGTACGTAGTATGCGTGCGTGGCTCTAATTCAATAGTTTTCGTGTGGAGATGATGGCAGGCTTTTGTGCGGGGAACCAATCGGATGGCGAGCTGCGTATGTGCATGCATCGAGTACGTATCTGAGTGGGGTGCCAGGCGATGCTGCAGCCAAGGGCGCGCTTTCACGTGATCTTTCCTATCGTCCATTCCTTCACTCTGAGGTCCAATGCAGCGTGGCTCACAACGAAAGTGTTCTTGAACTCTCAACAACGATAAATGTGTAGGTTAGCAGCTGCTACAGCTTCAACTGAGCCTCAATGTATCGAGTGGTGGGCGTGGGAGATGTTGGAGATTGATGATTGGTGACGTCACGTCAGTGCCTGGGCATATTATCTCATCCGCCGAGAACCGCGGGGAAGCATCGACTGACGCGTCCTTTGTTGCGGCCTGGAACGACTGCGTACACTACATTTGACTTTCCTCACCGCGTGTCAGCCGGGAACTTTGTTTTTTTGTTGACATCTTATCTTCAACTCAAGCATTCCCCATCATTTGCTGCTCTTCCTTTGCCTTAACGTTCAACTCTAGACTGCTTGCTTTCGTCCGACTCGTGGGGTTGCCACGCACCAACCAGTCGGCCGAATATCTCAGCGCCATTGCTACGCAGTGGTGGTGTAATCGACTTGTCGTGCTCTTTAGCTCCATCAGGGCACTACTTGTAACCCTCCATCTGTCTGTCCCTCCTGCCTGTCTTCTGAATTACCCTTCAATTACCAGGCCAACATGCGCTTCTCACGAGTTGTGCCACTTCTGCCCTTGGCGACCGCTTTGGTCATTACCGAACCCGAAGTCTTCTCCAAGATTGAAAAGTCGGGACGGCGGCTCGTTGACAATGCTCAAACTATCCTTGATGATGCACTCAGCAAGGTCAAGGATGGAGCAAACGATGCATATAGCAAGTTCCACCATATTGGCTACGATGTCGAGGCATGGCTAGAGGGCGAGGATTTTGACGACAGCGTCATCGACCTTGATCACCCCCATGGCCCTCACCATGGCAAACCCGACCATCCGCCACACCACGGCAACCCTCACCACCCACTGCACCACGAGAAGCCAAACCGAACCGTTTACGAGCTCATCAACGAGAGCAAGTACACTACAAAGCTAGCTAAGCTGATCAACGAGTTTGATGATGTCGTCGAGTTGTTGAATGGCACTGCAGCCAACTATACCATTTTTGCCCCGACGGATGAGGCTTTTGAGAAGATCCCCAAGAATCACCCAAAACCATCAAAGGAGTTCTTGAAGGAAGCTCTCTTGTACCACGTCACTGACAGCTTGTACCCTGCTGGTCGTGTTCTCCACAGCTTCACCATCCCTACTCTATACACAACCAGCAAGAACCTCGGTCACGCTCAGCGTCTAACTCCCCGAGTCACATTCAAGGGCCCCACAATCAACTACTACAGCCGCCTTGTAGCTGTAAACATCTTTGGAACCAACGGCGTTGTTCACGGCGTCGACCACATCCTTGTGCCTCCTCCCAATGTTGCCACCATCATCGATCTGCTCCCTGGCTCCTTCAGCACCCTGGAGCTTGCTCTCACCAAGACTGGTATCTATAACTGGCTCAACACGACCCAGTACGAGCACAACGGTGGCACCTTTTTCGCCCCAAGCAACTACGCTTTCAAGAAGCTCGGTCCTAGAGCCAATGCCTTTCTTTTCTCAAAGTATGGCGAGAAGTATCTCAAGGCTCTCCTAGAGTACCACTTGGTCGTTGACGAGACCCTTTACACGGATGCCTTTTTCGATGGATCCGACGACGATGATGATGACGACGAGTCTGCTAAAGACCGCCCAGATTACTACCACTACGATCTCCCCACCGTGCTGGATGACAAGTACCTTGCTGTCGATGTTACGCGCTACGGACCTTTTGCCGAGATCCGAATCAATGGTTTCTCGCGCGTCACTATCCATGATGGTATTGCTAGTGACGGTGTCATCCAAGTCGTTTCTGATGTTCTCATTCCACCCAAGAACGCTGGTGGCGAGCAAGTCTTCTGGGATGGCGAGGAGCTTGATGTCGAGGATCTCAAGGAGCGTCTTGAGCCTTTTGTTGACAACATGGAGTTGTAGAGTCGCACATACCCCACCAACCACCATGCATCTCGTGTTGAAGTGAAGAACGGATTATGTAGCCACTGTGGCATTGGACAATCTTTAAAAAAACATTTTCACTTTTACATAGCCTTGTCTTCAAACTGAAGCAGGTACCCTCACACTAGTACGTGTATGATCTTAGGTAGCTCAATGAATAAGAACAGATTCAATATAGGAGTTACGTTGGTTTACGTGAATACCATGCTCTCTCGATCGATTGGTGAAATCAGAAAACCTCGGCCAAGCGGGCTGCTAGCCTTCCAACACGAGCAACCTTTACTATGAAATTTTAGCATGGTGGTATGAGTTTGAGAAGAAAGTTCGGAAAATCAGTCCACGTCATACTAACTGTCGTATAGCGCCTGTGGAGGAGAATAGCTTCTGGTGACAATAGCTCAGGTAATCTTTGTATTGATTACTGCTCCATGCAAGATAGAGCAGCCGAAGTATGTATATGGTGAGCTTACGGGGCTAGGCTCAGCGCAGACTAGTGCAGAGCAAATGAAATGTACCGAAACGAGCTCGGTAAACAGTATTCTCCTGCGCTACAGCATCTAATTGAGATACACGTCTCCACCATACCCCTAAGCCTTACGCCAAACCAGCGCGAAAAACGAACTGAAGTTGCCAAGGTCTACACTCAGGAAAAGTCTTCGCCGCCCTCCTCAATTGTGTTCTTGATCCGCAGCAGAAGCGTAGTCTTCCACTTATCCAGCTTGCTCAGCTGATCAAATTGAAATAGCTACATCACATTAGCACTTCTTTTCCCACCTCCTTCTCAAACACAGTGATCACATACCTTGTCAGCAAACATCTCCTGATCGCCATCCTGCACCGCTGCCGTAAGATCAACCAGCAGCGCATACTCCCTCTGCTGCTGAAAGCTAGGATCAATCTCTCTGTACTTCTCAAGCGCGGTATTAACGCCGACTTGGTCACCTGTGCATAGCTGGCAGATACCAGCCTTGAGAAGGTATTCCTTGACGGACCAGCGCATGAGGTTGTTGGCGATGGATGCCTTTGCCACCTTTTCATAGAGCTCAATGGCCTTGTAGTAGTCTTTGCCCTCTAGGGCAATGAGGTCGGCTGTCTTGAGCCAGAGCTTGTTTGCAAGTGCCTGCGAGTGAGGGTTAGTCATGGCCAAAAAATTAGAGGATGCTTGGGTAATAATTACTTCAGCGTTGTCCTAGGTCTATGTTAGCGTTCATGTTTTTACAAAGCGTTGAGCGATGGAGTATATAAGTATATGGGGACTTACACTCTCGTACCAACCAGCTGCCTCTTCATAAGCAGCTGCCGCACGCATGTTGTCGCCAAGCTCGACTTCGTAAAGTTCGCCGAGATTCTGCTTGTGAGTAGCTGCGCGGCGGAAGTTGCCTTTGTTGCAGTAGTGTGTAATGGCCTTGTCTAGACACCTTGCCGCCGCCTCTGGGTCATCTTTTCGGTAAGCCTCTGATCGCATTAGCCACGTATACAAATAAAACATTCTCTAGGGACTTTACTGAAGGCATCTGTCAAAGTGTTTGCCTCATCGTCAGGCTCGTTTAGGTGTTGGCGTTGAACTGATGCTGCTTTCTCAAAGGCTTCACCGGCTTCCTTGCCTGGGACCAGTCAGTATCTCAGAGTGAGGCTGAATTGAACAGCTCTTCAATCAATATCTTTGGGAGTTCATTTTCATACCCATCTTTTGCATTCGGAACGCATTTGCTGCGGCGATGAACTGTTCGGCGGCTGCCTCGTCTGTCACGTGCATCAGTGTTGCAACACTCCCGTGTCATCCGCCAGCCCTTACACTTCTCTTGTTTCCCTCCGAAGAAACTGAAGCCACCCGACGCCTTCTGTAGTGATGTCTCTGCCTAGTAAAGCACACGAACATCAGTTATCTGCATGGTGGCTGAGCCTGAGGAGGAGGCCCCACCTGTCGCAGCAATGCCCTGGGATCACCGGCCATGTTTGCTGGGTATGCGATGTTTGGTGTATAGTAGCGGATGTGTGAGAGACCTTTTAGAAGAAGAGGAAATTGTATTGAAACTTGGGTTGGAACAGGTGGCTGCGCTCGCTGTCTTCATGGGCGGCGATGACGACCCACGCTGGGCTGGTCCATGCGAGACCCGCGGGGCACCGCCAATGGCGCGCTAGTGCTTTGCAGGTGCCTCAACCACGACTGAACTTTTGGCGACGACACCGTCCGTGTTTCGTCTGGGCTTCAGCTTTTTTTTCGGGCGCTGATTTCGGGAAACAAAATAAAACTCAACTGGAAAAGTAAAAAAATTGGTTCCTTACAGCGAAGTTCCCTTTTACGGAACTAAAACACACCATGGCAAATCGTCGCGTCTTTGCGGCTGTGAAGCTCTACAAGCCGACACAATGCTTGCAAATACGGTCATTTACGCCTTCAGCCCTACGGCTAGAAAAGGACCCTAAGGAATCCGCGCACCCACGGAAAAACGTCGGCATCCATCCCAGCGAACTCGAGCAGCTTCTCGCAGAGCCCACCTGGTCCGTCGAGTCCCTCCTTCCACCAAAGACCCGTGCTCCCGATGCCCCGCAAGTCACTTCGCAGCAGCTACACCACCTGCTGCGACTGTCAGCTCTCCCGCCCCCGGAGACGCCAGAGCAAGAGAAGAAGATGCTAGATACGCTGGCAGCACAGCTACACTTTGTGGGCAAGATACAAGAAGTGGACACTACTGGCGTGAAGCCTCTCCGGGCTATACGCGACGAGACTGCGGCTGCGGAAGAGGAACAAAAAATTACACTGGAGACGCTCAAGGATGCATTGTCCAAAGAGAAGGTTGTGGGACGTCATCACAAGCGCATACAGCGTGACACTACACCTGTCGATGCGAAGGACGTCGAGGACTGGGATGTGCTAGGTTCAGCCGAACGGAAGTCCGGCAAATACTTCGTTGTCGAAAGCGAACGCCCACAGGAATGAGTCGCTAAGCATTGCCTCTCACCAAGATTGAAATGCATACGCTAGTGCCATGGATTTGCACAGATCTCATACTACAACGAGTAGTCAGATTGGCTAGCTATGCCCAGAACGACGATTTAAACACCAAACGCCTTATAACACTCGCAAAAGCATAGCATCCGGAGAATTCAACAACTCTCCAAGAGAAACAAGACAAAAAAAGAAGATGTGCCCATCCCAAGCCTTCATGATCAAAAGGTTGGACTCGAAACGCTAAGCAGCCAAACTGGAGAACAAGAAGACCAGCTTCAGTATCGAAGCGTAACCAGAAAAAAACATATACTCAATTTCAGACACAGAACGCCTCATCTTCACATGGGCCACAGATCGACTTCCTTGTTGCATGTTTTACAGTACTTCACAATGTGCCCTCTGACACCGCAGTCACAAAAGGGCGCTTCCTTGATATCGGGAAGCTCTGGTGTTGACAGTCGAGTTGAACGAGGTGTTGGCGGAGGTGTTAATTCTTCAGGAAAGTAAAATCGTCTCTTCTCTTCTCCTGACAGTTGCCTTCTTGGCTCCAAGGCCCTCTGTACGATGGCCGGTTTCTGCCTAGCTTTGGATGAATGCTTGGCAGAAGTCACGTGAGGTGTTGAGTAGGATTCCCTCTCCCTGACTTTTGGTGCACTGCAACGCGAAGAGTCGTAAGAGCGGCTTCTGGAGGACGGATTTATGCTGTCCATTGGGTAAAGGACAAAGTCGGTATATGTCTGGGTTGGTGACTCGACCTTTCGGGCACCCCCAGCGCGACGACGAGACTCCGCAATCTGAACCCCTGCTTTATCATGGTACATTGTCTGGCGGTATCTACGGGCCTCTTTCTTATGTGAAGGGATGTTTGATGTGGAAAGAAGTTGCTGCATTGGCAACGACGGCGACGGCATGGTAATCCCTGAGACCAGCGGCCGGTATGTGATATCAGAAAAGAGTTGGAAGTCTTTGCTTAAAGTCTATGAAGGTCCTTGGAACTATACCAAGCCTCAATAAAAGGTGTTGTAGGGAGGGGTTGGTAATGTGATAGTGGGGAGTGAGGAAAGGAGTGATGATGTGGGAGGTGGGCGGTGCAAGATATATGTGTGCAAGATTCTGCCAAGCATTATCCCACCTAGCACGCACCCGGCCTCCCTCCCCCACCACTACCCTTCTAGGCTACTATGTCCTACAGCATTTTTCAAGTTCAGAGCACTCAATAAGCTCATATCTACTGAAATTGTCTCTGAAATATCGATGCAACATGGATTTGAGGAGCACTGGGGGTACTTTTGGGCATTTCCGCATTGGGAATATCGGAGTGCAGTTTCTTATATCGAAGCTGCTACGAAGCACCCAACATGAGGAAAAGTAGAATTTAAAGTCTTTAGGATCAATTAGACGAGTGAGATGGCTCGATGCATCTGGGTTTGGGAATTATCTGTCCTTCGACGTCGTCGTCGTCGTCGCCCGTTGATCTTTCACCCATGTCCTCTGACATGCCGTTTCGGAAAGGAGTGGTCCAATCACCTTTCGACCCTCTTCACCGTATCTATTCACTAAGTGATACTCTGCATGATTTTACTACTCTCTAGGTAGAGTTTTGGTTCGTGGCGTGGTAGCAAATGGGAAGGCCTAGCCGGATCAGTCGCTTTACAACAACATAACGAGTGCAAAGCTTTAATCTAAGGTTAATCTAGCCGCCAAGAGGAGATGCCAACTGCCTCCTGCAATATGAAAAACACAAGCGCACCTAGAGACACTAGTGTACGTACGCGCGTGCAAGTATGACGATTGAGATTCAATCGTCCCTCTAGGTAGTTTTTCTTCGTGGCGTAGTAACATAGGTATAGCAAAATAGACACGGACTTACGTATTCCGGGTCTGCCTCTAATCCAACACAGCACCACCAACAAAGTCCTCCGAAAAAACCGAAATTCACATACTTCTATCCTCTCATCATCATTTTGTAAACCCCCCTCCCCCTTTCCATATCCAAGCACACACCCAAAAAAGAGACATTCGCACCCGTACACGCGCGCGTGCAAAGTATGACTCTTTTGGAGTTCAAATCGGTCCAAGTCCACGTGACTGTCCCCCCCCCCATCTCTCTCTTGACCTTACCCCCTGTCTCGGGTCATCCCGCCACCATCAAAGCTCCCGTGACAACCCCATCATTGATTTATTCTTAGAGAAAAACAAAACATACACAAGTGGGGAACTCGGAAACGGTGCTTGATAAAAAAAACTACCCCAGACTTCAAATACGATGTGATATTTTTATCTAACTATAACGTGGTTCACAAGCGAGTGGCTCACCCAAGCGAGTGGCTCACTCCCCACCAGCGCGCCAACTTTGCAATATCATCACAGCTATTTAACACAGTATAT